TAAGATTGATGTAACTTCCTTGACCAGAAGACGTAAAGAGAAAAACTTCTTAAAAGAGTATACACTTACAGGATAGACAAACTCCTCCGGACAAGATGGGCAGTAAAAGTTATCCGGTTTCACATGCTGCCTCACATGCGCCAAAAATGCGTGGTAGCGTTGAAAAGACTTTCTTTTTCGCTTACCATCACAGAATTTGCATTCTGAACCAGGTATGTATTCAGCCTGAATGATATAACAGCACTCCCAGAAAATGAAACAAAAATAATAGAACAAAAACCTGTGAAGAGTGCTCTATCACGGTATGCACATCCAGATTTCGCTCAAAATTGAAGGAAGCAGTACACTTTGGACATCTGTAACAAATCAGATTATACGAATGAAAATGGTAATTATGGCTGCAAACTACCTGAAATACTTTGTTAGCGAGCAAGAAGCCCTGTCATGTCTTGTTCCTCGCGAGTCAATGACTCGATCACATTCAATACAACGTGCTTGAGTGATTTCTTCCTACAAAAGGGATAGATGCTATCGATACTTAGATTCAGTGTAAAAGCGCTCTCTCATATAATGCCAAGCAGACATGATTTGCGCATAAAGGTGAGAAATGAGCGAAAATTTTTGAACTCAAAAATTACGAGCCTTGCATAAAAAATGGACATATAAAAAGAGCCTTATTTTGAATAACTTTAGCACTTCAACCAATGATTTGATGATGACAAAACAAACGCAGGACTTTCTTCTCCAGCCACACCACAGAAACTCGCTATTTTCTGGAAATGACTTACAAAAAGATGCACATCATGCTGTGGAATTTCCTCTGGTTGTTGCGCAATGTCATTCGCAGCAGTTTCTGGCACCACCACTAACGGTTGTGAAAGCTGCTGAGGGGGTGGGACTGTCGGTTGCTGAAAAGCCGGTTCAGCGACATAGGTGGCACTCTCCATAGGTATGTACTGGATTTCTGGGAATAAAAAAATAATATAGAAAGCCAAAAACGACGTAAAACCGTACCTTGACCAATGACAGGATTGCTCAAATCTACGTCGGTAACTTCGCATTGTTGAGTGATGTCGTCAAATCCACCGCTTTGATCGATGAACTAAACAGGGGAAGTGGAGATAATAGGGAAAAGACTTAATCTAGAGGTCTTGTATGGAAAACAAACATAAAACAAAAAAGGTACATATCCAGAAGTTTTTTTTTTCACTTCGTTAAAAGGAAAACGAAGTCAAAGACAAAAAAAAACTATGTTCCGAAGCACTAGACTGTAAAAAAAGGACTTGGAGAAAGGCTTACGCTTGAAAACGGAGTTGTTTCCACGAAGAAAGGGACACCAGGATCCCAGTAACGCAAATCTGGTTGGGAATAACGGCCAGAGTGCACCAAAGGAGAGAAACCACCAA